CCCCCCCAGAACGGGCCTGGGCTCTCAGGGGTCCCCTGGTGCATCGGTGGAGTTGGAGGTGTGTTCAACTGGTGGGGATGCTGTTACATCCTTGCAGAAGTTCTCTTCTCTCTAGGACTTCATTCTGCAGGTGGGGGCGATATATATAGGAAAGGTGGTGAATGAACTCAACCTGGGTGTCTATTGTCTTATATAGTCTGGGAGGTGATTGGATGATGGGGTATGTTAGAGATTTTCTACAGGGTAGGTGTGGTTTCCTCTCTGGTGTGGTCGGGTGGGCCGCCCCGGGGTCTATGGGGGTTGGTCGTGCTACTGCTGTGGACCCCGGTTTGATTGCCCCTCTGGGGACGATTGCACCTGGACCTGGGGGTATAAGGCATGTTCTCAGTGTCCGGGGCTGGGTGCTCAGGTATGTACTGGCATACTCCCGGTGGCTTGACGGGGCCTGGCACTCATGGCTCAGTCGGGCTCCTTCTGGGGGTTGGGGGGCACTCGGACCTCTGAGCCCGGGGCTCGGTCCGCACTGGCGTGGCTGCTGGCAGGGCCTGCAGGCATGTTACCACAGCCCCCTGTGGCCTCTGGATGGCTGGGCCTGGACCTCCTCCATGTCTGCTTTATGTTGTTCCTGGGGGATGGGGCTATGGTTCCCCACACCCTCTAGTGCAGCGGTCCCCAACATTTTTTGCACCACGGACCGGCCTTTAAGGTGTCGCAGATAAATACAACAAACTAAAACCAGTACCGGTACCAAAAAAAGATTTATTCATAACACACGGAAAAAGACCCGAGCCTCAACTCTCGTGTCCTGGTACCAAATGACTCACGGACCAGCCCGGGGGTTGGGACCGCTGCTCTAGCAGATAGTTACATGGAGAAACCTTTTGAATACACAGGTGTACACACGGGTGTTCACACACACACGTTGTCGTCCTTGGCTGCTGCCTCAAAGCACATCGTGTGTTGTCGATCTTCCGTGCTGCTCAGTAACATTCAGTATTTATTATTTACTGTTACTTGTACTTATCTCGGTTGTTGCTGTGGTCTCTCTACCGTGTCGTTCTCTTTTGCTGGTTTTCTTTTTTTTTCTTCCAACAGGTGATCCAGCTGATTTTTAGTGTATTTTCTCTCTGTCCCTCTTCCCCTCTAACTTTCTTTCTCCCAGTCATGTCTGTCTAGTTTGTAATAACTTAAAATAAAATAAAGATCAATCAGGGACCGACTGTTGGCGAACAGTAGAAAACACTGCTGACAGACAGACGCTGTGGTATAATAGAAGCAACAAAGAGCGTAGAGTATGTTACTGACAGAACGTGAACTGGGCTGATGGGATTGTGCTAAAATGGCCAAAGCTCGATGTAACGGAGTATTTGGGGTATTTCTACTATTTCTTCAAGTCCATCGCCTTACAGCAGTGAATAAAAATAGAGATGTGGGAGGAGCCTGGCTTGTCATCAGTGTGGTGAGGTGAGACCAGCTTCACAGCGCCTCCTGTTATCTAACAACCTGCCTGTTATGTAACAGCACACACGAAAATTTTGCAAAGACATGAGGAGGAGGAGGAGGAAGAGGTCTGCATTAGGCCTGCACTGATATCAAAGTCGATACCGTTTATTAGACCCACAGAGCAGCCTGGGACAAAGGAAATGATCACATCTGTACTAGTGAATGAATTCATGCTGTCATGATCAGTGATGTAAATATGAATTTACCGTTCAAAGGATCCTGCTGGATCTCTGCAGATACCTTTAAAGGTTTCAGCCTCAGCTTTTGATTTCATTCTACTGTAACCATGTTAAAATGTCACAGTACATCAAACACATTCAGCTTATTGGAGCCTTTTTGTTCCCTTTTTGTTACATTTGGCGTTTTTTAATGCTTGTGGATGTGCAAATGTGGCAAAGCACAGTGTCTTCATAGACCATCATGTCTACGACTGCTGTCATGCTGAATGCCTGCTGGCTGCTGTTCTTACTCAGGGTTGTTCGAATGTTAATCAAACCAGCATTTCTGTGAGTGTGCAGTGCATGGACCATATCCATCCATCCAATCCATCACACAACTGAAATATTGTGACCTATTACTCTTTACAAAAACGGAGACCATTTATATTCACAGTTTATTATAACACTTCGTAAGTAAGGTAATAATAAGGTTATAAAAAGTGCAATTAGAGAGTTCTTAAAGCTGTAAGTCTGCTACACTGTTCAGAGAGTCACATGGAAAGAAGCACGTTAGTCAGATTCTACATTCAACTGTTTTTTATTGAAGCATGCTTTGATTTCTTTTTTAAAAAATCAGTTATCAACAACAATAGAGATGTGATATTAATTTTATTAAAATAAAGTCTGCATTACAGTATCAGTCGGGTAATAACTGGATACCTCATTCATCTACGTGCACACTGAGTTAGTCCATCATTCCCTCATTTCTTTATACAGACATGGGTGCAACACTCTAAACCAGCATCAGTCTGTCTGTGTGACGCTGCTGTGACACAGTCGGTCGGTGTGTGTGTGTGTGTGTGTGTGTGTGTGTGTGTGTGTGTGTGTGTGTGTGTGTGTGTGTGTGTGTGTGTGTGTGTGTGAGGGGGACCACAGATTCCAGCTTACCCCTCTCTCCTTCCAGATCCATCTCTCCAGTTTCCTCCTTGCAGCATCCCTCCTCCTGCTAAGCCAATCCCCTGGTGCACAGCAGCATCATGTGACCAACAACTACCAATAGTGTACTACCAGGCACCGGCAAAAAGAGGGGAGGTGTCTCTCTGTGTTCTTCTTCTCTTCACTGTGAGTCAGACGGCATCCCTGGATGAGAATGGATGGATGGACACGCAGGATTCATCTGACTAGCACAGAGAGGTTTCTCCTTTTTATTTCCCCCTGAGGAGGAAGCGTGCTGCTCCATCTTAAACGCCTACTGCATCCCTCCCTCCCTCCCTCCCACTGCTACTGGCACACAGAGGAGATGAATGGGGAGGCGATGGACCCGGCACAAGAGCAGCAGCAGAATGCCGGTAACACCTCCCACCTACCTCCCCCTCCAACCATCACACCGGCCATTCCCCCCTATGTGAAGCTGGGTCTGACCATCGCCTACACCGTCTTCTACTCACTGCTCTTTGCCTTCGTCTATGCCCAGCTTTGGCTGGTGCTGCGGTACCGGCACAAGCGCTTCAGCTACCAGACGGCCTTCCTGTTCCTGTGTCTGCTGTGGGCCGCCCTGCGCGCCCTTCTCTTCTCCTTCTATTTCAGAGACTGTGTGACCGCCAATGCACTTGGACCCTTTGCCTTCTGGCTTCTGTACTGCTTCCCCGTCTGCCTGCAGTTCTTCACGCTCAGTCTCATGAACCTCTACTGTGCACAGGTGAGCGGGCTTCTGCTGCTGTTACTGTTCTGCTGCTGTTATTGTCATAGCAGAGACCGGTGGCTCTGGGAACGGCTAACAGGGTTCAGACTCTGGCAGGCTTTAGTCCACGCAGGCAGTGCGGGGTTAATCTGCAACAAATCTGAGGTATCCTTTCATTTATTGTTGATGTGCTGCCATCTGTGGCCGCTGACGGTAAGAACATTAATGATTAAATAAGCAGGTTCCCACCTTCACTAGTCCCAGTGGCAGACAGTGGCACAGTAAAAGCCAGTCTGAATTACAGTGGGGGGTTCTGTTGACTCAGGAATCTGTGGGGCTGAAGAATGAAGTACAACAAACTGCAGTTCTTGAAACGGCCACTTGAGGCTGACTCTAAAACCGAGTCAGTGCTGTGAACATGTTTGCAGCCCGGTAGCTTTGGCCTCTGTGGATAGTTTCCTCTATACTGCATAAAGGTTTGATGTTAGGATGCTTCAGTTTGTAGGTGGATGCCCAATAGCTCATAGAGCTGTAGCTGACTGAGCTTGTGGTGCTGGAGCTTTTTGAAGTCCAACAAGTTTGTATTTCAGTTTTAGGAAGTGAAAGTGTCTGGTACATAGTCCTGATTGGTATGTATGTGGTGACCCTGCATCACTGTCGTGACATCTGTCACTGATCAGCTCTGATGAGTGCAGCTGCTCAACTAGACCAGGAAACAGAGTGTTTTCACATGAGAGGAGACTCATTAACCAGCAGCGCTTGTCTGTGAGAAAGATGACACAGGTTATTTTACTACAGTGCATTATTTCCTTAATGCGGGTACCTTCAGGAACAAATCAATGAGATGAGCTGCTGCAGGCTCTGAGGAAGCACACACAGTTTGCAATGCTTGCATGCTGAACACATGGCAGAGACAGATGAAGCTGTGTGGACCGAGTGAAGCTCAGACAAAAGTCTGTGTGCTGTAAATGTCCAGTTGTTGTTTTAGAAGCGATCCAAGTGCATTTGACTGAGATTAACTTGTGACTCATTGTTCAGCCGTAGGTAGTGAAACCTGGAGCTTTTGGGGGGAAACTGTTGATCGTGCTCTTTGGCAGTGAAGCATGTTAATAAGCTTATATTATACGTGAGTTTCATTTTTGAATGACATAAAGAAGTGCTGTTTCATTTATGAGCTGATAATCTGACAAAATAAAGCTTTTCCAGCTTCCTGGTCGTAGAGGTAAAGCAACCCTGAGTGTGCTTCTCAGGAAGATCCAACTGATAGGTATTCCTTTGAATAGACCTAGAGCCTGGGTCCTGCATTAACAAAAGGAGAACAGAGTCCTGACTGGCCAGCAGTCCTTGAGGAGGCCGGGCTGTTGGACTAAATGTGTCCGTCAGATGACCTCTCAGCCCGTTTGAATAACCAGTCTCTGCCTGTCTCTGCTTCTTCCTCACAGGTTTACTTTAAGGCAAAGTCCAAGTACGCACCAGCACTACTGAAGTACAGGTAACTTGACTAACTTATGAAATCGAAGAAGGTTGTCAAAGCAGGAAGTGGAGTTGGTATTTTCCTAGCTTTTCCAGAATCCACAGCGCTGTCTCCCCTCTCCCAGACTTCCTCTGTACCTGGTCTTCCTTTGCGTCAGTCTCATTTTTCTGGTGGTTAATCTGATCTGCGCCCTGATGGTCAAGATGACTGCTGCCGACGTGAAGACCATTGTTCTGGTGAGGGTGACCGTTAACGACAGCTTGTTCGTACTCTGCGCCATCTCGCTGTCCGTCTGCCTCTACAAGGTGGCCAAGATGTCATTGGCCAACATCTACCTGGAGTCAAAGGTAGAGTCTCCTTTCATTTACAACATGTGCTAAACTATGAGGAACGAGAGATCATGCTGCACAAAATTGTTTGAATAAACTGATGAAATGTCTCTGTGTGTAGGGAACGTCCGTGTGTCAGGTGACCCTGATCGGCATCACGGTGGTGTTGTTATACGCATCACGAGCCTGTTACAACCTGGTGGTGCTTGCCCTCGCTGACATCGAGACCATCAACTCCTTCGACTATGACTGGTACAACGTCTCCGACCAGGTTAGACCTTCATCCAGCTGTAAACAGGAGCCGGCTCCTTATGTCACCATCATGTAACTAGGACTGGGGTAGTACTCGTTGCAGAGGTCCTGCATAAAGCCGACCTGATCTCCATACATGTGTTCATTCAATCACACCCATACCTGACCTGACCTGGGTATACCATGGGTATGGCCATGTTGTGTGCTCTGCACGCATTCCCCGCTGTGTGTGTGGAAAACATGCACAGACCAGTGTGCCACTACATGTCAGCAGGTTTGGAAAGCTGTGTTTCTGTTGCCTCTGACCTGTGTGTGTGCGTCCTCAGGCAGACTTGCGGTCCTCTCTTGGAGACGCCGGTTACATCGTATTTGGGGTGATCCTGTTCGTGTGGGAGCTGCTGCCCACCTCACTGGTTGTGTTCTTCTTCAGGGTGAGACGGCCGCCTCAGGATCGGGTCAGTACTGCAGGTTCTTACAGTTGGCATGAGGTTTTCTCTCTAAGTTAATGATAGGCCATCACTGTTTGACTGCTGCTCTGATGTATTTGGTCCAACAGAGCACCACGGGAATCCCTAACCACGTTCTCTCCTCCAGAGGATATTTCTTTGACAATCCTCGTCGCTATGACAGCGATGACGACTTGGCGTGGAGCATTCCTCCCCAGAACGCCTCAGCGAGGTGTGAACATCATTTCTGACTTTACAATGTCACTGTCACTGGTACTTATGGATGCCTGTGGCTGGGTTAACTGGTGATTCTAAATTGCCCATAGGTATGAATGTGAGTGTGAATGGTTGTCTGTCTCTCTGTGGTAGCCCTGCAACAGACAACTGGGACAGGCTCCAGTTCCCCATGACCTGCATATACTACAAAAAAAATGTCCATCACGCCACTCTTGTGTTAATCTATGCACGGCCTGAAGCATGTGTGTGGGAATGTATGTGAATGTTTTACTGTTACATCTTATTAGTATTTTAAGTATTCTATCTATTTTATTTATTGAATTTTATTGTTTTATTTATATTTTGATATTGCTAGGGATGATGCAATGATCGGGGACCATTCTTCATTTCGTTGTTCTCGTGACAATGACAATAAAGTTTTCTGATTCTGATCTGATATAGCTTCAGACAGGACTACCATTAAGGCCTGGTTGTTGGACTGCTTCATTTATGGCTCCCTCTGAATGGCAATGAGGCAGGTGTAGTGGTGGGCGTGCAAATAGCAGAGATAGTGAAGGTCGACTCCATTCATCTGGACGTAGTGTTTTCAGTGGGTGTAATGAAAGTCACCTGGATGAGTGAAGAAACGTTTCTCCCACTGAAACGTTCAGATGAACAGAATCAGCCTTTTAGGATTTCCTTAGTGGAAGCTCCAGATCTCCTGTGACACAGGTCTCTGTGACAGAGCGGCTCCTGTAGGTGCGTTATGGAGCTGGCGAGTGTATAACTTGAACCCTGACTTTAAACAGTCGGCTGTGTGCCTTTGCCTGTGTCTAGATATACAATATTTGCTCCATTAAAGCCTCTGAAGGACAATGGGTCTGATTGCGATGGAGCAGAGCTGACCTGACGGTTTCACCAAAACGCAGAAAACCTGAAGCTTTTTTCACAGGCTTGGTCCTGACTGCCATATTTTCTCTGACAGCCTTTCCTCTGACTGCTGCGACTGGGGCAGCCGCCACAGCAGCTTCACCGTGCATCCCAACAGTGACGAACAGCGCCTGACCACCGCTGCCGGGGAGCTCCGCCCTTATCCATGAGTCCGCTGCTCTGTGTACAGCATCACTCTGCACTTTGACACGGTTCGGTTATTGTGTTTGTTATTGTCACTGACATAAGGCTTTGTGGAGTCACTGTAGAAAATAAAGAAGAATGTGTTACAGCAGGGGTCTCAAACTCGCGGCGCGGGGCCACTTGTAGGTGACGTGAAGAAAGATAATGCAGTTCGGCCCTGGAAGTGCGCCACGTGTCTGCACGGGCAGAGAGGACCAAAGGCTTCAGTTAGTGAAGAGTCAGTTTCTTATGCAACAATTTAAACAAACAAACAAACCACTTTCAGTAATATTTGTTTGTGTTTCCTTGTGTGTTTGTTTGTACTCCTAAAACACTAAAGTGGCCGTCCAATGAGACCACAGTGGTCCACAGCTCACTTCAGTTTGAGACCCCTGCCTTACAGGTTTCTACACAACAGTTAATCACTATGTGTCCTTAATTTTTGGTCCCCCAGCTGATCGCCCCAAACAGTCCCAGAACATCAAGTGTTTAGCTGTAAACAAGAACATCTGAATTTGGCCTCATGATGTTGGACTTTTCCCACAGCTACAATGTTGCTGCTTCTAAGACTCGCGGTATGAATATGATGTTGTGATGAATGTTTCGAGTATTTCAATGAAGATAATCCAGGTAGTGAATTAAATTGGAAACAGTTCTTTTCATGAAGTCAGCTTCTTTGTATTTATTCACACACTCACAAAGACATCCGATCAGAGTCTCTGCTGTGCTGGGACACTGTAGGGGTTAGCTGATAACAAAGCCAGTTAAACGTGGCCATCATCTGCACATCTGTGTAGTCCACATTGTTCTGCTGTAAAATACTGCAGCAGGTCAAAGTTAAACAGGAAAGGAGAACAGTGCACATCATACCGGTCCTCTCATTACTATATGAAACAAAGTGGGCACTACATAAAGCTAACCTGTTTTCAGTCTAAATGTATGTTAAGCTTCCTTTTACTGTAAATGTGTGAGGGTCATTTTTGGCTGAAAAAGGTTAGAAAACCATTTTCAAACAAAAACAAGTTCGAACCATTAAAAGAGCAGGATCGTTGCTAATGTTAGCGACACAATATTAGCAGTGAACATCTGTCCAGATGTGTTTTAAAAGTAACAATTTAATGTGTTCAAATATCTTCAATGGAGAAGACCTCTGCAGCTTTTTAAAAGACGGAGATGCACAAAATGCTTCATTAAAAGTTCATCTGGAGCCACATGAGATTTGATAAAGATGATCAGGACACGCAGCAGCGTACTGCTTTACCACCTATGTTTGGCAGTGTTGACAGGTCAGCTGGGATTCCCTAACCCCAGCACATCAACTAATTCCAGTAGAAAGGAATTCATTGTGCTGCTCATCACACCATTTTAACATTTCCCCCTAAAACGACCTGAAACAACATAAACCCAGCTGCTGGTTTGCAGGACGCACACGTGTGATCTGTGTCTGAGTATTAATAATAATAATGGATTGGATTTATATAGCGCTTTTCAAGGCACCCAAAACGCTTTACAATGCCACTATTCATTTACTCTCACATTCACACACTGGTGGAGGCAGCTACGGTTGTAGCCACAGCAGACCGGGGCAGACTGACAGAGGCGAGGCTGCCATATCGCGCCATCGGCCCTTCTGGCCAACACCAGTAGGTGAAGTGTCTTGCCCAAGGACACAACGACCAGGACAGAGAGGCCAGGGATCGAACCGGCAACCTTCCGGTTACAGATGCGATTCCCAACCCCCTGAGCCACGGTCGCCCCATATATTCAGGTGTGAGCACAGAGCAAACATGTTAGCATGCTGTCTGTGCAGCTGATGCTGTTAGCAGCAGAATGCAGCTGCTTGTGTCCAGTTTACTTTACCATCACGCTCTCGTCCTTGTGCAGTAATAATAAAAGTAACATCCATGCTCACGCTGCAGACTGAGCCATTATTTTCCTCCTCCTGCACACCAACTGAAATCAGCTGATTGGTTATTGGTTCTCCAAACTTTGCTCAACCTTTGTTCATTTTATTTCAGAAGAAAGAGAGCGGTGTGAACCCTCAGTGGTGACTCGGGGTTATCTGCACTTGGCAGACTTTGTTTCCTTACACTTTTGAAGGCTGTCTGTCACCCCTCCTGGACACGTTGCTGTTCTGTCATCACGTGACGTCTTGGAGCATTGCTTGGAAACTGAAACGACACCGAGAGGATTGTTAGGCAGCTCAGAGCGCTTCAGTGCAATTCATGAAGTGGGAAAAGGCAGGCAGAAATGACCAAAACGACTTATTAGTCACTTTGAAGACAGTATTCAGGCTGTAGGCAGTATTTCTGGAAAGAACTAGCAGATCATTTTCTTAAATCCTTGAAAAGCTCCTCATGAAAGTTTTTCCTCTTTTTACTTTGTGAGAAAAGCAGGAAGAGGTGGTGAAGAAGCCACACGTGTGGGAACGACACTGATTTAATCAGTAACCAGGCAGCCAATCACTCCACGCGTTGTATATCCACATCTGAAAATCACTTCACGGTTGGGTATCGATCACAGTTTCCACACCCGTCAGTGCTGCACGGCTCGGGACAAGCTTCAGCTCCAGATTTCTAACAGATTTACTGCTTTTGTAAGATTTGTAACACTTCACATGTTTTGTTGTTGAGCTTTTGTGTTTGTGGTGTGAAATAAAGACATACAGCCAGTGAAGGACAGGAAATGAAGAGAATAAGCAAACACCACATTCAGGTTCAGAAATATTTATTCCTCTTGTCAAATAAATACAGTTCGCAGGTACAGCCTTTTTGACCCTTTTGTGTCGGACTTCTGAACTGGTTTGGTTTTTTAAGGCTGGTGAGTGGACTGTACAAGACTGCTGCTGGGCAAGCGAGGCTCAGAGAAAGGCAAGCACTCCCTCTCTCACACAGAGTCTCCCTGCACGCCTCTGATGGAGGCTGAGCCACAAACTGGAACTAATGTCGGGTAACTGGCCTGAAGTGGGCTAACTCACTGCCACAGTGGGAGGTGTGTGCTCTGAAGCATGTCTGACCAGTACACAGCACACACCTCATCTGCTGTCTTACTGGCTTCTAGCTGACAGAGTAACCAATGATAATACATCAATAACTGATGGGTCACATGATCACAACATCTGGATTCTGGATCTGAAATCTTTGATTCTGAAAGCTTCGAGCCATTCTTACATTTTACAGGTGTGAATGGTCCCAGCCTCGCGCCCGGCGGCAGCTCCGTGACCCTCTCACATCAGCTCAACAACCAAAACATACATAAAAATGTAAAAACCAAACTGATTTCTTAGTTTTAGGTTTCTGTTGTTGAAAGCTGCGAATGTTGCTTTTGTTTAGCACTAGAATACAAATGATGATTAAGATCAGGTGGCACACATTATAAAGCTGCAGTATTAACTCACCTGTGCTTTAAAAACAAGTCAATCTTTAA